CACACACACACACACATACACACATACACACACACACACACACTAGGTGAGTACACACGCACATACACACATGTACCATCACGGTCACTTCACCCTTGACCCTCTTTTCCCCTCTCTCCCCTGCTAATCCCATACACACACCTCCCTCTACTTCCAAGGGTCACTCATCCTTCTCCCCCTCCCCACCTTTATCCCACCCCTCTCTCTCCCACACATGCACACACACATACACAAGCACACACACACAAGCACATATACACTTGACACAAACACGTGCCCCCCCTCCCCTAACCACCTCTCCTCCTTCCCTAACCACCTCCCCCTAGCCACCTACCCCTCCCCCAAACCATCTAACCTCTCCCCCAAACCATCTAACCCCCTCCCCCAACTACCTCTCCCCCTCCAATAACAATCCTCCCCCTCCCCATAACCATCTATCCCCTCTCCCCCCAACCATCTATTCCCCTCCCCCTAACCACCCCTCCCCCTTCCTTCTGTGGAGCAACTGGGGAACCTAGAACTAGGATGAGAACAAGGGGCTCGAAGGATGAATTGGGGAGGGAGGACAGGGAGGCAGAGCTCAAAAAAAGGGAGGAAGACTGGGGAAGGAGGCTAGATTAGCTGGCAACGAAGATGGAAGAGAGGTTAGCAGCAGAATGCAGAAGGTGGAAGCAACATGCCACAGCAGCAGAAAACAAGATAAAGAGATTAGAAGAGGAGCTGAGACATCTGAAACAGCATAGAGACAAAGATATTACAGAAGTAGCATCGGCAATGGCTACATCAGACACAGACAACGGGTCTGAAGGGAGCATGGAAACTAAACTGTATGCAGAGGTCCTCTCTAACCCACATTGGGCCAAAACAAAGACAGGGAGCACACTAGGACATAATGAGAGGTTGGAAGACATTGAAGGAACTAGGACATGTACAGGGACCTTACCAGACACCTGTGGGGGCCAGGAACAGGTGAGCAGGAAGGACAAATCAAGGAACATAGGGGCCATAGCTAGGGAAGGGAGTGAAGGAAGGAACACTCCACGGGAAGGAACTAAAACACATCAGAGGATGCAATGGGAGCCACAGTGGGAGGTGGAAAGGGAGAGATCAGTGTTTGTCTATGGGCTAGATGAAGTTAAAGGGGAAACTTATGATGAAAGAAAGCAGGAGGAGAAAAAAGCGATTGAAGGTATCATGAAGGTGATTGGCGAGGGGGACATGACCCAGGTGGCAAATTTTCGGAGAATCGGGTGGTTCACAAAGAAAAGGATTCGGCCTCTCGAAGTAATTTTCAAGGCAGAATCAACCCAAACCATGATCCTGCAGGAGAAAGCATGGCTGAGAGGCAGGCAGGAGTTCATGAGTGTGTACCTCGATCGAGACAGAACACAGGAGGAAAAGAAGACGATGAAAGAGAGAATTCAAAAACGAAAGGAGAAATGGGAGGAAATGAAAAAGTAGAGCAGAATAACCCAGGAACAAGTGGAAGGACAAGCACACCCCCCAGAAACACCTGCAGAAGGATCCCAGCCACGACACCCCCAAGGCAACTGAACAATCCAAACCAACCATCACACACCGATCCCTCTGTTCCCACCCCCTGCACCAAAGTTACAGTATTAGAACAGAAGTTGAAGGTTTGGTACACATATGCAGATGGATTAACGAATAAACATGAGGAATGGCAAGAAAGAATCAATGAGAAGTCCCCAGACATCATAGCAGTTACAGAAACAAAACTCACAGAGACAATAACAGATGCAATCTTCCCACCAGGATACCAGATCATGAGGAAAGATAAAAGGGGCAGAAGGGGAGGTGGGGTTGCTCTGCTAGTAAAAAACAGATGGAAATTCGAGAAAATGGAAGGCATAGATGAGACGGGAGAAAGAGACTACATAGTAGGTACACTTCAGTCTGGGGAACACAAGGTGGTCATTGCAGTGATGTATAATCCACCACAGAACTGCAGGAGGCCAAGAGAGGAATATGAAGAGAGCAACAGAGCAATGGTGGACACAATTGCTGAGGTGGCAAGAAGAGATCACTCCAGCAGAGCAAAGTTGCTGGTTATGGGGGATTTCAATCACAGGGAGATTGGCTGGGAAAACATGGAGCCACATGGGGGTCCCGAAACATGGAGAGCCAAGATGTTGGACGTGGTGCTGGAAAACCTCATGCACCAACATGTTAAGGACACTACCAGAGTGAGAGGGGAGGATGAACCAGCAAGATTGGACCTTGTGTTCACCCTGGGCAGTTCAGACATTGAGGACATCCCATATGAGAGTCCACTAGGAGCTAGCGACCATGTAGTTCTGTGCTTTGAATATATAGTAGAGCTGCAAGTGGAGAGAGTAACAGGAGTTGAATGGGAAAAGCCTGACTATAAAAGAGGGGACTACATAGGGTTGAGGAACTTCCTGTGGGAGGTCCCGTGGGACAGAGAACTGGCAGGAAAGCCAGTAAACGAAATGATGGAATATGTAACAACAAAATGCAAGGAGGCAGTGGAAAGGTTTATTCCCAAGGGCAACAGAAACAACGGGAAGACCAGAATGAGCCCATGGTTTACACGACGGTGTAAGGAGGCAAAAACAAAGTGCAATAGAGAATGGAAAAATTACAGAAGGCAGAGAACACACGAAAATAGGGAGATCAGTCGCAGAGCCAGGAACGAGTACGCACAGGTAAGGAGGGAGGCACAGCGACAGAATGAAAATGACATAGCATCGAAAATCAAGACTGACCCGAAACTGTTGTATAGCCACATCAGGAGGAAGACAACAGTCAAAGACCAGGTGATCAGATTGAGGACAGAAGATGGAGAACTCACAAGAAATGATCAGGAGGTATGTGAGGAGCTAAACTATAAAAACTAAGGAAGTTTTTACAGTAGAGACAGGAAGGGCTGTGGGAAGACAGCACAGAAGGGAACATCAAGAGGGAATATACCAACAAGTGTTGGAGGAGGAGGTGAAGAAGCTGCTAAGTGACCTTGATACCTCAAAGGTGATGGGACCGGACAACATCTCCCCATGGGTCCTTAGAGAAGGAGCAGAGATGCTGTGCGTGCCTCTAACCACAATCTTCAACACATCCCTTGAAATTGGGCAACTACCTGACCTGTGTGTCTGACATGTATTGTGTGCAAAGTCATGGAGAAGATTATCAGGAGGAAAGTGGTGGAACACCTTGAACAGAACAAGATTATAAATGAAAACCAGCATGGGTTCATGGAAGGCAAATCTTGTATCACAAACCTTCTGGAGTTTTATGACAAGGTAACAGAAGTAAGACACGAGAGAGAGGGATGGGTTGATTGCATTTTCCTAGACTGCAGGAAGGCCTTTGACACAGTTCCCCACAAGAGATTAGTGCAGAAGCTGGAGGATCAGGCGCATGTAACAGGGAGAGCATTGCAATGGATCAGGGAATACCTGACAGGAAGACAGCAACGAGTCATGGTACGTGAAGAGGTATCACAGTGGGCGCCTGTGAGGAGTGGGGTCCCACAGGGGTCAGTTCTAGGACCAGTGCTATTTTTGATATATGCGAACGACATTATAGAAGGAATAGACTCTGAAGTGTCCCTATTTGCAGATGATGTGAAATTGATGAGAAGAATTAAATCGGATGAGGATAAGGCAGGACTGCAAAGAGACCTGGACAGGCTGGACATGTGGTCCAGAAACTGGCTTCTCGAATTCAGTCCTGCCACATGCAAAGTCATGAAGATTGGGGAGGGGCAAAGAAGACCGCAGACAGAGTATAGGCTAGGTGGACAAAGACTACAGACCTCACTCACGGAGAAAGACCTCGGGGTGAACATAACACCGAGCACGTCACCGGAGGCACACATCAACCAAATAACTGCTGCAGCATACGGGCGCCTGGCAAACCTGAGAATGGCGTTCCGATACCTTAATAAGGAATCGTTCAAGACACTGTACACTGTGTATGTTAGGCCCATACTGGAATATGCAGAACCAGTCTGGAACCCGCACCTGGTTAAGCACGTCAAGAAGTTAGAGAAAGTACAAAGATTTGCAACAAGGCTAGTCCCAGAGCTCAGGGGAATGTCGTACGAGGAAAGGTTGAGGGAAATCGGACTGACGACTCTGGAGGACAGAAGGGTCGGGGGAGACATGATAACGACATACAAGATACTGCGGGGAGTAGACAAGGTGGACAGAGACAGGATGTTCCAGAGAGGGGACACAGGAACAAGGGGTCACAACTGGAAGCTGAAGACTCAGACGAGTCACAGGGACGTTAGGAAGTATTTCTTCAGTCATAGAGTCGTCAGGAAGTGGAATAGCCTAGTCAGTGAAGTAGTGGAGGCAGGAACCATACATAGTTTTAAGAAGAGGTATGATAAAGCTCAGGAAGCAGAGAGAGAGAGGACCTAGTAGCAAACAGTGAAGAGGCGGGGCCAGGAGCTGAGTCTCGACCCCTGCAACCACAATTAGGTGAGTACACACACACACACACACACACACACACACACACACACACACACACATACACACACACACACACACACACACACATACACACACACACACATTATATATATATATATATATATATATATATATATAATATATATATATATATATATTTATATATATATATATATATATATATATATATATATACATGTGTGTGTGTGTCCCGTGGCTCGGTTGATAGCGCACTCAACTTACTGAGTATCCATGGATCAATTCCCAGCAAGGTGGAAGGTAGGGCGTGTTACCTTACTCCTGGTGTCGCTGTTCTCTTAGCAATAGATAGATACCTTGGTGTTGTGGGTCGCATCCTGGGGGGTAGGATTTAAGGATCCTAATGGAAATAAGATACACAATTACCAATGACACTTTGACTTTATAGAGTTATACTCGGTGATTAACACTCCTTGTTAAAAATCCAAATAAATCATATTTTATACGTGTTACACTAACCCAGTTGTACTTACCTGGTTGTATTTGTAGTGTTCATGTCATGGTTCTTGGACTCAACTCTCGATGAGGCGAAGCAAGAGGCCGAGTGTGAGTGCCAGTGTGGGTATTTGCAGTAATGTGGGAAGCAGTGACAGGTCCCCCACAGCAAGCACTGGGCACGATATACCCACTCTGCCCACCCTTACTACTGCTCTGCACAGTATACCCTCAGTTCCTACCCTCACGAGCAGCGGGCACAGTATACCCACCTTGCCCGCCCTGACGGCCAGTGGTGGGCACAATTCCCATGATATTACACGCTTCACCTTACAACACCTGCTGGTTACCATGGTACGTTCTCCAATATATTGCAAAGAAATTTCCACTGTTCTAGAACATTATAGTCTCTGTTATAATTTAATTTCCTGTTCCTTAATTCCCAGCATGCTTGTTCTCTGCACCTAATTACCCGTACGCTGTTACTCTCTACTCAGTTCCTATATAAGCTATTTTACTATATGTTATTACCATGTGTATTATATATTCCTTAGTGCTATTTCCAGGTTATTTCCTCTAGGTCTTCTGGAGTTGAACGTATCTTAGCCATTAAGTTTTTTTCTTATCGTTGGACGTGACTTGTTCATGGGGAAAAAGTAAATTGTCTGCCCCTCCACCTTGAGGAATAGTGTAGGCATAATTAGAACTATTTTTAATCACCTTCTGCTAATGTGGTTCTCAGGTACTGTGTTAAGTTCGGCTGTTTTCCAGTCAGTTATTTATGATGCAGTGTCCTAATAACCACAATTATTTCGTCGTTGATGATGGTAGGCAAACTTGTGTTACCTTTGTCTCCTAGTTTTCCCAATGTATTCTTTTTCACAGTGTTTAAGAAGGATGAAATGCACAGCATGTTATGTGAGATCCCCGAAAGATTTTTGTGGCAATGGTAACAAGAGTACATTTCCGTCTTTCTTAAAATAGGGGCTAAGGTACTGGGTTTGTCCTCTGTAGATAGGTTCTATCTTTTCTGTGATGACAGGTTGCAGAACTGGTTCGTAATCAGTCGCTGAAAAAATCAAGAAGTGTACCACCGTATAGCATAAGCACAGTCCACTGTATAACATAACCAAAGTCCCCTGTATGTAATTACATCTGTAATAATAATGCAGACAGAGGCATAAATATCTAACGCATTAAAATTTTTAAAAGATTATGAAGAGATATTCACAAGTCATTCATGAATATTGATTCCAAATTTATTAAATATAAATATTATATTAGGGTATACACAGCCCAAAACTAATTCAAACCTTCTGAACGTTTCTATGTGTATGTGTGTGATTTGAACCTTGGGAACATAGTACAGAAAAAGATTACAATCATCTTGAACACACATAGCTGTTGTGTGCACCTAAAGGTACACTGTGTACATCTAACCTTGGATAACCTACACTGTGTACATCTAACCTTGGATAACCTACACTGTGTACATCTAACCTTGGATAACCTACACTGTGTACATCTAACCTTGGATAACCTACACTGTGTACATCTAACCTTGGATAACCTACACTGTGTACATCTAACCTTGGATAACCTACACTGTGTACATCTAACCTTGGATAACCTACACTATGTACATCTAACCTTGGATAACCTACACTGTGTACATCTAACCTTGGATAACCTACACTGTGTACATCTAACCTTGGATAACCTACACTGTGTACATCTAACCTTGGATAACCTACACTGTGTACATCTAACCTTGGATAACCTACACTGTGTACATCTAACCTTGGATAACCTACACTGTGTACATCTAACCTTGGATAACCTACACTGTGTACATCTAACCTTGGATAACATACACTGTGTACATCTAACCTTGGATAACCTACACTGTGTACATCTAACCTTGGATAACCTACACTGTGTACATCTAACCTTGGATAACCTACACTGTGTACATCTAACCTTGGATAACCTACACTGTGTACATCTAACCTTGGAAAACGTAATCAAGATAATCACTCCTGCATACTGCTGATCACAAAAGACAATCACTGTGGCATACTGCTGATCACAAGAGACAATCACTGTGGCATACTTCTGATCACAAGAGACAATCACTGTGGCATACTGCTGATCACAAGAGACAATCACTGTGGCATACTTCTGATCACAAGAGACAATCACTGTGGCATACTTCTGATCACAAGAGACAATCACTGTGGCATACTTCTGATCACAAGAGACAATCACTGAGACATACTTCTGATCACAAGAGACAATCACTGTGGCATACTTCTGATCAAAAGAGACAATCACTGAGACATACTTCTGATCACAAGAGACAATCACTGTGGCATACTTCTGATCACAAGAGACAATCACTGTGGCATACTTCTGATCACAATAGACAATCACTGAGACATACTTCTGATCACAAGAGACAATCACTGTGGCATACTTCTGATCATAATAGACAATCACTGAGACACTTCTGATCACAAGAGACAATCACTGAGACACTTCTGATCACAAGAGACAATCACTGAGACACTTCTGATCACAAGAGACAATCACTGAGACACTTCTGATCACAAGAGACAATCACTGAGACACTTCTGATCACAAGAGACAATCACTGTGGCATACTTCTGATCACAAGAGACAATCACTGTGGCATACTGCTGATCACAAGAGACAATCACTGTGGCATACTTCTGATCACAAGAGACAATCACTGTGGCATACTTCTGATCACAAGAGACAATCACTGTGGCATACTTCTGATCACAAGAGACAATCACTGTGGCATACTTCTGATCACAAGAGACAATCACTGTGGCATACTTCTGATCACAAGAGACAATCACTGTGGCATACTGCTGATCACAAGAGACAATCACTGTTGCATACTTCTGATCACAATAGACAATCACTGAGACATACTTCTGATCACAAGATACAATCACTGTGGCATACTGCTGATCACAAGAGACAATCACTGTGGCATACTTCTGATCACAAGAGACAATCACTGAGACATACTTCTGATCACAAGAGACAATCACTGTGGCATACTTCTGATCACAATAGACAATCACTGAGACATACTTCTGATCACAAGAGACAATCACTGTGGCATACTTCTGATCACAAGAGACAATCACTGTGGCATACTTCTGATCACAAGAGACAATCACTGTGGCATACTTCTGATCACAATAGACAATCACTGAGACATACTTCTGATCACAAGAGACAATCACTGTGGCATACTTCTGATCATAATAGACAATCACTGAGACACTTCTGATCACAAGAGACAATCACTGAGACACTTCTGATCACAAGAGACATTCACTGAGACACTTCTGATCACAAGAGACAATCACTGAGACACTTCTGATCACAACAGACAATCACTGAGACACTTCTGATCACAAGAGACAATCACTGTGGCATACTGCTGATCACAAAAGACAATCACTGTGGCATACTTCTGATCAGAATAGACAATCACTGAGACATACTTCTGATCACAAGAGACAATCACTGTGGCATACTTCTGATCACAAGAGACAATCACTGTGGCATACTGCTGATCACAAGAGACAATCACTGTGGCATACTTCTGATCACAATAGACAATCACTGAGACATACTTCTGATCACAAGAGACAATCACTGTGGCATACTGCTGATCACAAGAGACAATCACTGTGGCATACTTCTGATCACAATAGACAGTCACTGAGACACTTCTGATCACAAAAGACAATCACTGTGGCATACTGCTGATCACAAGAGACAATCACTGTGGCATACTTCTGATCACAAGAGACAATCACTGAGACATACTTCTGATCACAAGAGACAATCACTGTGGAATACTTCTGATCACAAGAGACAATCACTGTGGCATACTTCTGATCACAATAGACAATCACTGAGACATACTTCTGATCACAAGAGACAATCACTGTGGCATACTTCTGATCATAATAGACAATCACTGAGACACTTCTGATCACAAGAGACAATCACTGAGACACTTCTGATCACAAGATACAATCACTGAGACACTTCTGATCACAAGAGACAATCACTGAGACACTTCTGATCACAAGAGACAATCACTGAGACACTTCTGATCACAAGAGACATTCACTGTGGCATACTGCTGATCACAAGAGACAATCACTGTGGCATACTGCTGATCACAAGAGACAATCACTGTGGCATACTGCTGATCACAAGAGACAATCACTGTGGCATACTGCTGATCACAAGAGACAATCACTGTGGCATACTGCTGATCACAATAGACAATCACTGAGACATACATCTGATCACAAGAGACAATCAATGTGGCATACTTCTGATCACAAGAGACAATCACTGTGGCATACTGCTGATCACAAAAGACAATCACTGTGGCATACTTCTGATCAGAATAGACAATCACTGAGACATACTTCTGATCACAAGAGACAATCACTGTGGCATACTGCTGATCACAAGAGGCAATCACTGTGGCATACTTCTGATCACAAGAGACAATCACTGAGACATACTTCTGATCACAAGAGACAATCACTGTGGCATACTTCTGATCACAATAGACAATCACTGAGACATACTTCTGATCACAAGAGACAGTCACTGTGGCATACTTCTGATCACAAGAGACAATCACTGTGGCATACTGCTGATCACAAGAGACAATCACTGTGGCATACTTCTGATCACAAGAGACAATCACTGTGGCATACTTCTGATCACAAGAGACAATCACTGTGGCATACTTCTGATCACAAGAGACAATCACTGAGACATACTTCTGATCACAAGAGACAATCACTGTGGCATACTGCTGATCACAAGAGACAATCACTGTGGCATACTTCTGATCACAAGAGACAATCACTGTGGCATACTGCTGATCACTAGAGACAATCACTGTGGCATACTTCTGATCACAAGAGACAATCCCTGTGGCATACTTCTGATCACAAGAGACAATCACTGTGGCATACTTCTGATCACAAGAGACAATCACTGTGTCATACTGCTGATCACAAGAGACAATCACTGTGGCATACTTCTGATCACAATAGACAGTCACTGAGACATACTTCTGATCACAAGAGACAATCACTGTGGCATACTGCTGATCACAAGAGACAATCACTGTGGCATACTTCTGATCACAAGAGACAATCACTGTGGCATACTTCTGATCACAAGAGACAATCAATGAGACATACTTCTGATCACAAGAGACAATCACTGTGGCATACTGCTGATCACAAGAGACAATCACTGTGGCATACTTCTGATCACAAGAGACAATCACTGAGACATACTTCTGATCACAAGAGACAATCACTGTGGCATACTGCTGATCACAAGAGACAATCACTGTGGCATACTTCTGATCACAATAGACAGTCACTGTGGCATACTTCTGATCACAAGAGACAATCACTGAGACATACTTCTGATCACAATAGACAATCACTGAGACATACTTCTTATCACAAGAGACAATCACTGAGACACTTCTGATCACAAGAGACAATCACTGAGACACTTCTAATCACAAGAGACAATCACTGAGACACTTCTGATCAGAAGAGACAATCACTGAGACACTTCTGATCACATGAGACATTCACTGTGGCATACTTCTGATCACAAGAGACAATCACTGTGGCATACTACTGATGACAAGAGACAATCACTGTGGCATACTTCTGATCACACGAGACAATCACTGTGGCATACTTCTGATCACACGAGACAATCACTGTGGCATACTTCTGATCACACGAGACAATCACTGTGGCATACTTCTGATCACACGAGACAGTCTCCAGGTAGTTCACACCAAAAAAATAATTTTGAATAATAAAACTGGCACATTGAAAGTTGATGAAGGTAAAATTCAAGTGAACCTTCCATAGAGGAAAACACATCAGCACCAAGACGTTTATGCGATCATAAGAGACAATCTCCGGTTAAGACGCAGAATCTGATAAACTTTGCAGTTACACCGCTTTAACCTCAAAAATGATTCTTCCATTCATTGTGTGAATCAGCAATTAAATAATAATGTAGAGAATCGGATTATTTAATTGAGGAGTAAGTTCTAAATTAGTAGGGGCTACATAGCTCCTGTGAAATATGAGTTACTTAAATACGATCCAAAGAATAATATAATATATTTTTTGTATATGTACATGTACAAGGTATACAGAAAGTCCCTTGTTATGCTGAGCATACCCCGCAAATTAGGTCAATTTTGTCCCAGGATGCGACCCACACCAGTCGACTGACATGCAGGTATCCATTTTACTGATGGGTGAACATAGACAACTGGTGTAAAGAAACTCGCCCAATGTTTCTACCCGCGCTGGGAATCGAACGCAGTATAATTACCTGGAGTTATTGTGTGACAATTTACCTGAAGCACTTGACAAGTGTGGGGCTATGGTTTTTATGCAGGACGCTGCACCGCGTCATACCGCCAAATCTGTAGTTCATTGGCTTAAGGACTGTGAAGTGAGGTACTTTAATGACTGGCCAGGCAATACCCCAGACTTAAACCTTATTGAGAACCTCTGGTCAGTAGTGAAACGAAGTTTACTGGGCAAGGATATCAGTTCTACCCCACAGCTGGAAGCTGCTCTATGTGAAGCATGGAATAATATACCTCCCCAAACCCTCAAGAATTTGTGCGAGTCTTCCTACATGACGGAGGAAAGTGATTCAGCATAAAAGAAGCAGCATTAAGTATTAAAACCTCAGTGAATGTGCAAATATATATAAATTATAATCTTTCATGGCATATGTTTGTGTTTTGGTACTGTTTTGAAGACGTGACGGGAGCAGTCAGTAGGGATGCTATTAACTTGAGTAGGTTTAGGGATTTGTTTAAGAACATAATATGTTGCCTGTAATTTGAGCTTGTGATTGAGCTGATAGCGTCCTCTCGTTGTGTGATGACTGGCTGAAGGTAGACAGCTTAGGTACGGCCCCAGGTACTAATTCCATACGTTAGGTATAGTGACATAAAAGAAGAAGATTGGGCACATAATGAATTTCACAGAGTAAATTTACAAATTGTGATACTTACTTTAAATGAGATTAATATGAGCATTAAATTTTGATCATTATCTTTAAAAAAACACCTAGGAACTTACCCTTTTCTCTATTTCGGATTCATTTATTTGATGTTTGATAGTGAACTTAGTTTATTCCCAAAATTTTATTTAATGCATTTTCAGTATAATGATTAATTTATTTGTTTTAAATCTGCTGTTGGCCTTTCAGTTTATTCTCTAACTCATTGTATTTTAAAGTCAAAGTGTCAAATAAGACTCAGATCTAAGTTGATTCATTAATGTTTAAAAGGTTGTAACCTAATTACCTGCCATTCCCTATAACTCATGCAGATTTATCTGTTCACCACGAATATTAATACTAGTGGAAAATAATGTGTATTTACAAATATACTTTGCAGGAGAATGGATGTGTACAGCAAGAGTGTACACAGGTTCTGCCTGTACAATCCGTCGCACAATCTGCCCTCGACTTTCGCACAAGAATGAAGCCATTGACCCAACCCAAGAAGGTCGGTTATTTATATTAATAATGAAATGTAATGCCAATAAGTTGGTGAAAATAACTTATGTTCATCAAGGTATGAATACTTAACAAAGCTATGAGACTAACTACCTCATCTTCCACCGTCTCTAATTTTAATCTTTGTACATATGTATTAATAAAGCGAATCGTCTTCTTATTAAAAAATACTCAGGACATACGAGTGTATTTTTTTTGTATAAATATCTGTCACGTTGAGTAGGCAAAACTTGCAATTTTGGCTTAAATAGCAACACTCTTCTTGCCGAATAAGACAAGCCAAAATTTGTGTATGCAATAATTTCACAAAAATCATTCTGAACCTAAAGAAAAAAATATATTTCATTGCGTTTGTTTATTATTAAATTATTGTAAACTTATCTAAAATACATTTAATTGGATTAGGCTGAATTAAATTGCGCTTGTTATAATATGGTTAGGTAAGCTTTCTAAGGTGCCTTTGGTAAAAAATTATTAATTTTTAAATTAAAATAAATGAGAAAAATATATTTTTAAACGAATAAGAGAAAAGTTTAGAGAGGACCTAATTTTAAATGAGTTCTTGCTAATTGACCAGTTTTACCTATGTGTGTGTGTGTGTACTCACCTATTTGTACTCACCTATTTGTGGTTGCAGGGGTCGAGACTCAACTCCTGACCCCGCCTCTTCACTGATCGCTACTAGGTCCTCTCCCTCTCTGCTTCCTGAGCTTTGTCATACCTCTTCTTAAAACTATGTATGGTTCCTGCTTCCACTACTTCACTTGCTTAGCTGTTCCACTTCCTGACGACTCTATGACTGAAGAAATACTTCCTAACGTCCCTGTGACTCGTCTGAGTCTTCAGCTTCCAATTGTGACCCCTTGTTTCCGTGTCCCCTCTCTGGAACATCCTGTCTCTGTCCACCTTGTCTATTCCCCGCAGTATCTTGTATGTCGTTATCATGTCTCCCCTGACCCTTCTGTCCTCCAGTGTCGTCAGTCCGATTTCCCTCAACCTTTCCTCGTACGACATTCCCCTGAGCTCTGGAACTAGCCTTGTTGCAAACCTTTGTACTTTCTCTAACTTCTTGACGTGCTTGACCAGGTGTGGATTCCAGACTAGTGCTGCATACTCCAGTATGGGCCTAACATACACAGTGTACAGTGTCTTGAACGATTCCTTATTAAAGTATCAACGCTATTCTCAGGTTTGCCAGGCGCCCGTATGCTGCAGCAGTTATTTGGTTGATGTGTGCCTCGGTGACGTGCTCGGTGTTATGGTCACCCCAAGATCTTTCTCCCTGAGTGAGGTCTGTAGTCTTTGTCCACATAGCCTATACTCTGTCTGCGGTCTTCTTTGCCCCTCCCCAATCTTCATGACTTTGCATTTGGCAGGATTGAATTCGAGAAGCCAGTTTCTGGACCACATGTCCAACCTGTCCAGGTCTCTTTGCAGTCCTGCCTCATCCTCATCCGATTTAATTCTTCTCAACAACTTCACATCATCTGCGAATAGGGAACACTTCAGAGTCTATTCCTTCCATCATGTCGTTCGCATAAAACAAAAATAGCACGGGTTTCCTAGAACTGACCCTGTGGGCCCCCGCTCATCACAGGCGCCCACTGTGATCCCTCTTCACTTACCATGACTCTTGCTGCCTCCTGTCAGGTATTCCCTGATCCATTGCAGTGCCCTCCCTGTTATATGCGCCTGATCCTCCAGCATCTGCACTAATCTCTTGTGAGGAACTGTGTCAAAGGTCTTCTTGCAGTCCAAGAAGATGCAATCAACCCACCCCTCTCTTCGTGTCTTATTCTGTTATTTTATCATAAAACTCCAGAAGGTTTGTGACACGGGATTTGCCCTTCCATGAATCCGTGCGGGTTGACATTTAATACTCTTGTTCCGTTCCAGGTGCTCCACCACTCTCCTCCTGATAATTTTCTCCATAACTTTGCAAACTATACACGTCAATGACACAGACTATAGTTTAGGTGCCTCTTTTCTGTCTCCTTTTTAAAAAAGGGAACTACATTTGCCATCTTCCATACCTCAGGTAGTTGCCCAGTTTCCAGGGACCGTGTTTTAAGATTGTGGTAAGTGGCACGCAAAACATATCTGCTCCCTCTCTAAGGGCCCACGGGAGATGTTGTCCGGTCCATTGCCTTTGAGGTATCGATGTCTCTTAGCAGTTTCTTCACCTCCTCCTCATCTGTATGTATGTCGTCCAACACTTGTTGGTGTATTCCTAGCTGGTGTCCCATCTGGTCTGTCCCCCCAGGGCCTTCCTGTCTCTACTGTAAATACTTCCTTAAATCTCGTGTTGAGCTCCTCACATAAACCCCTTGAATCGTTTCTTGTGAGTTCTCCACCCTTTTTTCCTCAGCCTTATCACCTGGTTTTTTGACTGTTGTCTTCCTCTAATGTGGCTATACAGCAGTTTCGGGTCAGATTTGACTTTCGATGCTATGTCGTTTTCATACTGTCGCTGGCCCCTCCTTATCTGTGCTACTCGTTTCTGGCTTTCTACTAATCTCCTTGTTTTCCTGGGTCCTATGCCTCCTGTACCTTTTCCATTCTCTGTTGCACTTAGTTTTTGCCCCTACACCTTCGGGTAAACCAAGGACCGTTTTGGTCTTCCTATTATTTTGTTTCCCCTTTGGGGAAAAGAAACCTTTCCTCTGCCCCTTGCACTTTGGTGCCACTTTTCCATCATCTGTTTATGATTTTCCTATATTTTTCTGCCCCATGAACCTCCTGCGGGAAAGTTTCTCAACCTGTGTATTCCCCCTTTTTTAGTTTGGCCTGCCCCCTTCAGTTCCTGCACCTTTTCTCAATTTGGGTAACTCTATATTAATCAAAATCAGAACCACGGATCCCTAGCCCCAAGGGGCCTCTCGTAAGTGATGCCCCCCATGTCTGAACTGCTAGGGTGAACAAAGATCCAGTCTTGCTGGTAATCCCCCCTCTCTCTCGGTAGTGTCCGACATGTTGATGCATGTGTGTGTGTGTACTCACCTATTTGTCTCACCTATTTGTGGTTGCAGGGGTCGATCATAGCCCCCCTGGCCCCCCCCTCTTTACTGATTGCTAAGGTCCTCTCTCTCCCGCTCCAGAGCAGTGTGTGTGTGTGTGTGTGTGTGGTGTGTGTGGGTGTGTGTGTGTGGTGTGGTGTGTGTGTGTGTGTGTGTGTGTGTGTGTGCATGTGTGTGTGTGTGCGTGTGTGTGTATGGAGTGTGTGTGTGTGTGGTGTGGTTGTGTGTTGTGTTTGGGGTGTGTGTGTGTTGTTGTGTGTGTGTGTGTTGGGTTTTGGGTTATGTGTGTTTTGGGGCGTGTGTGTGTATGGGGTGTGTATCACCCATTTGTCAAACCCAATTGTGGGTTGCAGGGGTTTGAGATCAGCTCCTGGCCCCGCTTTTTTCACTGATCGCTACTGGATCCTCTCTCTCTCTGTTCTGAGCTTGTTTACCTCTTTTTAAAATTATGTATGGTTCCCGCCTCCCTACTTCACTTGCTGGCTATTTTCCCCTTGCTGACAACTCTATGATGAAAAAAATACTTTCCCAAAGCCCGTGACTGTCTGAGTCTTCAGTTCCGTTGTGACCCCTTGTCCCTGGTCCCCTCTCGGGGAACATCCTATCTCTTCCCCCTTGTCTATTTCCCCCCAGTATCTTGTAGTCGTTATCATGTCTCCCCCCACCCTTCGTCCTCCAGTGTCCCTCGTTCCGATTTCCCTTAACCTTTCCTCGTCGACATTCCCTTGAGCTCTGGGATAGCCCTTTTTGCAAAACCCTTTGTACTTTCTCTAATTCTTGACGTGCTTGACCAGGGGGTGGGGGTTTCCAGACTGGTGCTGATACTCCCGTATGGGTCTAAAATTTCACAGTGTACAGTGTCTTTAAGTTCCTTTTTAAGGTATCGGAAAGCTATTCCAGGTTTGCGGGGCCCCTATGCTGCAGCGGTTTTTTGGTTGATGTGTGCCTCCCGGGGATGTGCTCGGTGTTATGGTCACCCCCAAAGGTCTTTCTCCCTGAGGAGGTCTGTAGTCTTGGTCCACCAGCCTTATTCTGTTTGCGGGCTTCTTTGCCCCTCCCCAATCTTCATACTTTGCATTTGGCTGGATTGAAAATTTGAGGAGCCAGTTCTGGACCACTGCCGGGGCCCCTCCAGGTCTCTTTGCAGTCCGCCTCATCCTGTCCGATTTTTTTTCTTCTCATCAACTTCAGTCATCTGCGAAAAGGGACACTTTAGAGTCTATTCCTTCCATCATGTCGTTACATATATCAAAAATAGCACTGGTCCTAGAACTGACCCCGTGGGACCCCGCTCAAACAGGCCCCCACTGTGATACCTCTTCACGTACCATGATCGTTGCTGCCTCCCTGTCAGGTATTCCTTATCCATTGCAGTGCCCTTCCTTTTAGTGTCCCCCTGATCCTCCGCTTCTGCACTAATCTCTTGTGGGGAACTGTGTCAAAGGGCCTTCCTGCAGTCTAGAAAACGCAATCTCCCAACCCTCTCTCTCGTGTCTTACTTTGTTACCTTGTTTTAAAATTCCAGGAGTTTGTGATACAAGTTTTGCCTTCCATAAAACCCATGCGGTTTTCTTTTATAATCTTGTTCCTTTCCAGGTTTTTCGACACTCTTCCTAAAAATTTTTCTCCATGACTTTGCCCACAATACATGTCAAGAACGGGCTGTAGTTTAGGCCTCTTTTCTTTTTCCCTTTTCTTTAAATGTGGGGACTACATTAGCTGTCTTCCATTTCTCGGGGTAGTTTCCCCAGTTTAAAGGGGAAATTTGTTTGAAGATTGTGGTTAGAGGCAACACAGCCCCTCTGCTCCTTTTTAAAGGGCCCCATGGGGAGATTTTGTCCGGCCCCATCCCCTTTTTGGGGTGTCAAGGTCACTTAAGAGCTTTTCACCTTCTCCTCGTTTTTCGTATGTCATCCAAAAAATTTTGGTTATTCCCTCTTGATTTTCCCCCTTCTGTGCTGTTTTCCCCACACCCCTTCCTGTCTCTACT